TTTTTTTTTTGGGGGGGGGGGTTGGGCGCGCGGAGCTGTTGTGCTCTCTCTCTTGGGTGGATTTTTTGCCAGCTCGACCTAGCCTGTGTTGTCGTTTGCCCACCTGGACTGAATACGGCTCTTCTTGCTCCCAACACCCAACACCATCTCCCCCTTCCTCCCAATCCTCTGGTAATTCTCTGCCAATCCTTCCCTTCTTCCCTCTACCAACGCCGTCCTCACCATCCCACCATGTCTGCTGTTTGGTGGAGGTGCCTTCCTCGGTAATGTCGTCGAAGTTTCTCTATTCGTCATCGCGATCAGCTTCGTCTACAATTTTTGTGAACATGTCTCTCATTAGATGATAGGTCGGGATCCCAACCAATCAATGGCAGATCGAGGTAAGCGTCGTGTTCGCCATCCTGTCCCCGACCGTCAGCTTCCCCCCCCTCCCTCCCGCGCCCCCCCCACCCCCCTTTGGTATTTGCCCCTTCTGCAGTCGTGTTGCCTCACCCCCGCCGCCTTGAGAAGACCTCCTCCTCCTCCTCCTCCTCCTCCGCCTCCTCCTCTCCTTCCTCTTCTTCCTATGCCTTTGCTTCCTCGTCTTCCTCTTCTATCCTTTTATTTAATTTTTAAGTAATCTTGCCAGCCTCTCCTTATTAGTGTGGGCAGCTTCTCCCCTCGTTCTCTTCCTCCTCCTCCTCCTCCTCTTTCCTCTTTCCTCTTCCTCTTCCTCTTCTTCTTCATCCTGAAGGGGTGGCCACAGTAATTGCAGTTCTTCTATCGACCGCTGGAGGACGTATTTGCGGCCAGATTTACCCAAATCCGATCGTAATTGCGGTCAGATTCATCCAGGGAAGTTCCTCTTTGGTGGGAGTACGCTCTCATTCTCTTCTCCTTCACCCCCCTGCGCGTTGTCAATGTGATCCAGCAAGACCCCAACAATGTCGCAGCCAGTCTGTAAAAGCGATCCCGACGTCCTTGGCGCCAAACACGTGCTGTCTCTTATACACATCTAGATGTGTATAAGAGACAGCTCACACACACACACACACGCACAAAAAAAAAAAAAAAAAAAAAAAAAAAAAAAAAAAAAAAAAAACCTTCCACCCCCCGCGAACTGTCTCGGGGGGCAGGGGCAGGGGCAGGGGCAGG